GTATTAGCTAATTATATATTATATATCTGTTATTGCAAAAGTTTAATTACAGATCTAATAATATATTAACAAAAAAAATATTGCAATGATAAGCAGAAAGATAAAGCAGAATCACAAAGATATGCAGAAAAATTAGCATCACAAAAAAAGATAAGCAGAAAGATTATCAGAAATTCCACACAAAAACTCTATAATATTTTGATTTTCTTGGTCATTAAAAACTGTCATTAGCCTTTTCTCTTTTTTAATAAAACATCTTTTTGGTTTAGATCTTTGCTCTTCACAAAGTATTTATTCAATCTGAGTTTTAACATTTTGCTGTTCTTTCTGCATTTTATTAATTATCTTATAGATACTTACATTTAATCCTCCAACTAATGTCTTCCAATAGTGGTGCCAGGCCTCTACAACATTCTGTGTTCTTGGAACACCTAGCTCAATCGAATCATAAATAGACCATAAGCTTGGTTGAAATAAAGGCAAGCCATGAGTTGCTACAGTTCCATCACATGACTGATGTTGTACTTTTCCAAGAACATAATATTCCTTGAACTACTGAGTTATATTACTTGCTTCTGAAGATATACTTACCTTCGGAATTTTAAATGTAGCAGGAATTTCTTGAGCTGAAAGGAATGCTAAAGCAAATAAATAGCAGATCATCAAACTAAACTGAATGTCATTTCCATATTGGGTGGCTAGCCCATTTTCCTGAATTTTGCACCATCTACTTTGACACAGATAGAAGTAGCAACCTTTTTGAACTGCATTTGGGAATTTATGATGAGATGTGTTGATAGGTGTCAACTCGAAGTCAGTAATAATTCGAGTAGGCATTAATTAAAAATCGTTATCTTCAGCAAACTCTAATAAATTGCTAAAAACCACCTATAATAGGGATAGTAAAAAAAACAAAATTTTAACTATTTTTTTAAAACATTAAGAGATGAGAAAGTTTGCTTAATAAGGATAGTATTTTTGAATATTAAATTTTTGTTTAATTATGCCGAGCACTAGATATTCTATGGTACAAAATGAATCCATATGCCCCAAAAACTTTGTTATCCTACCTATATATTTCTTTTGATTTGTGTGTCATGAGAGCATACACTAATGGTAAAATTCTTGAGTTACTTTCTGAGCCTACAGGAGCATGAATTGTGTAAAGTTGGCAAAAAATAGATAGAACTGTCTTAAAGGTTCCATCTATTATCTAGAATGAGGCTGTAGACAAATATCGAATATTTTCTTTAGTCGTGAATATTAGAAGCCATTTTTCCTCAACCTTATGATCCTTAACTAAAAAATTGTCACTACCTAAAGTATTGCAGAGTGAAGGTGGCAAAATAAGATCTAAAGCACTTTGTGGTTCTTGTAATCCTTCATTTTTTCAAGCACAAGTTACCACTCTGTGAAGGGCACTAAGCATTGGCATATATGGTCTGACTTCTTTAAAAATACTATTCATATTATCTTGGATAAGCTGAGTTGGCTTTTTCCCAGTCTCCAATGCATGTTTTTTGATTTTAGCAACAGCTTTAACAACTTCAGATCTGCTCACTTGAGGAGCATGGATATGTTTTGATAATTGTTTTAAATAATGTAGACCATTATTTAAAACTGTTACTGTCTAACTCTTATATTTAATCAACTTATTTTTCTCACAGCACTAGTAGTATCTATCTCTATTATTCTTTTCTTTTATCATTAAATATCCATCAACCTTTATTTTGTCATTGCCTTTTTGAGATGACACAATTTCACAAATTTTGGATGACACAATTTCACAAATTTTGGATGACACAATTTTACAAATTTCTTCTTCACTCATGTTATTTTTTTTAGATTTAATAATAGAATGAATGAATGATAGAACAAATAGTAAGAACAATAGTAAAAAAGGATAATACAAAGAAAGCCTGCACTATTAAAAGTAAAGGTAATGAATAAAAAGATTTTTTTTTTATCTCTTTTATTGTGTATTAATATATTATATTTTTAAATTATGACTGCCTTAAATATGAGTTTATTAAATGAATTTTGATATATTTATAATATAATTAGAAGTGTAATATTACAGCTACATATAATATATGGAGATTAGAAGTTAAAGTAGTAAAATTAAAAAGTTTGATTAGAGAAGGTCACAATATGATTATTATTTCAGATTTACTGAATGTTATTTGATATTCAGAAATATAAGTTGAGTATAAAATTCTTATTAATGATAACCTGTGCTAAATTTTATCGATTAAACCTTTATCACCAAATACTTAACTCTCTACATTACATCACATTAGCAAAAAATTGATCACTAAATCCAATTATTTGGTCTCAAATTTAAATTTTGGTTACCAAATTATATATTAAACAAATATTAAACTCTGAAAAAATCTTTTGGACTTTTAATCTGTACCAATAATGAGCCTAACCTATCTTCTTTATATGCTAACTCATTTTTCTGTCCATGATGCATTCTACTAAACATAGAAATTTATTAAATGACTCATCATAAAATTTTCAAATTTTTTGGAGTAGTTTACAAATGCGCCATAATGAAATGCCTGAAATATTTTTACTGAGAAATTGATTAATTAACTTAATAACTTTCAAATGTGTGAGCATAATGATGTTTTATTATTATTAAATTGTCTAATTAAATCATTATAAATATCTTACTATAAATACTTAACTCTTTAGATGTCTGAAATATTATATCAGAAAATTGATTAATTAACTTAATAACTTTCAAATAATGTGTGAACATAAAGATGATTTATTATTATTAAATTGTCTAATTAAAATCATTAATATAAATACATTACCTCCAAATACTTAGCTCTTTAAATGCATAAATATTATACTAGGAAATTGATTAATTAACTTAATAACTTAATAACTTTCAAATAATGTATGAGTATAAAGATGATTTTTTTGTTAAATTGTTATAATATAAATACTTTATCTTCAAATACTTAACTTTCTAAATGTTTAAAATATTTTATCAAGAAATTGATTAATTAATAACTTCAAAATGTGTGAGCATAAAGATGATTTATTATCATTAAATTGTCCAATTAAATCAATAATATAATATCTTACCTCCAAATACTTATATCTAAAATATTATACTTGAAAATTGATTAATTAACTTAATAACTTTCAAATAATGCATAAGCATAAAGATGTTTTTTTTTATTAAATTGTCCAATTAAATCATTAATATAAATAACTTACCTTCAAATACTTATGCCTAAAATATTTTACTGAGAAATTGATTAATTAACTTAATAACTAAATAACTTTCAAATAATGCATGAGCATAAAGATGTTTTTTTTTTATTAAATTATTTAATTAATTTATTAATATAAATATCTTACCTTCAAATACTTATGCCTAAAATATTATACTTGAAAATTGATTAATTAACTTAATAACTTTCAAATAATGTATAAGCATAAAGATGATTTATTATCGTTAAATTATTTAATTAAATTATTAATATAAATATCTTACCTCCAAATACTTATGCCTAAAATATTATACTTGAAAATTGATTAATTAACTTAATAACTTTCAAATAATGCATGAGCATA